TGAGGTGCCCACTCTGGACGTGGTAAAGAATGTCTTCATTTTCCTTCCTGCATGTTGCATGTTTTTCAGAAAGCTGGTTGGTATTAGAGCACAAGTCTGCAGCCACAGAGCAGAGCAAAAAGCTCATGGGACTGTGCAGAGGCTCAGTTTGTCCTCACTGTGCTAATTGGCCTAGGCATAAACTAAAGCTTTCACACATAGGATATCTTGGATGTAAATTAGTATTAAAATTAGTTGAATCGCTTCTCGGCCTTTTGGCTAAGATCAAGTGTAAAATTAGTTGAGCACAGTGCTGAGTAATTTGAAGACAAGGCTTCTCCTGAGAAATGCTGATGTTCAGATCTAACAATAAATACATGCAGGGTCATAGTGGTCATAATAACAGCAAGAGGAGCAGTCATGAGCACAGAATTGAAATTTCTTTTGCTAGGCATTGTTCTAAGTCTTTGTGTGTGTGATGGTATTTAATCATTGCAACAGCACAGCTAAGGCAGGAGCATGACCCATCATAACTTAAACAACGCTCGCAGAGTGGCAGTTCCGTCAAAGGTCACATGACTGATAAGGGGCACATCCACAGCCTCATCTTTCTTGCTCCAAAGCCTGTGCTCCTTCCTGTTGGCAGTATTTCCCACTAGGACAGTACTATGCAAAATGTTTTAGCTCATCTGACCTTTCCAGTAACCCCTCTGCAAGACAGCTGGTGCTGCCTCAGCATCAAACAAGAAAGTGGAGGATTCCAGAAGTCCAGTCCCTTTGAATGCTAGCATGGCTAATTATGTCCTGGCTCCAACAGGAGCTTGAACTTTCTGACACCCAGGCCAGTGTCCAGATTATGTGTACTACGTGTCACTTTCTGCTCTTTGTTGGCCCTGAGCTGCAGGAGGCAAGACCTTCAGCCCACACGGATAGGCCATTACCCAGAAGTGACGTACAGTCCTAAGCAGAGCAGAGAGCCATGTGGAAACAGGCCTGTGGGCACCAGCCAGAGGATGTGTGTTCTCACTATGGAAAGACTTACAGCTCTTTCCCATAGTCCACAGTGGAGAACAACACCCCTTTATTTACCAGCAGACCCTAGGGTTCTGTTGTCTTTTTATTTTGTTTCACAGACTTCCCCAGTCACTTCCTTGTACACTTCAGTCCCCAGGCCTTCAGCATTATCTTTTGACTCCCGTGCCTTTTCCCTGCTGACCCCTCAGCCAGCCTTTCTGAAGCATTGTTTAGATGCTTTTTAGATGCTTTTTAGAAAATTACTTTCTTCATCTGTGCTGTTTATTTTGAAATGGGTTACTTGATTTTCTTCTTTTCTGTCACTTAACTTCATTCTTCAAGTTCATCTCTCCTCATAGAACTTACCTGCATGAACCACACTTGGTCAACAAGAAGGTAACTGTTGACACTTGCATTTTCATTCTGCACTCAGCTGACATGGGCCCAGCCTTGGTTACACTTTGTGGTCTCCTAGTGAATAATACAAGAAATAACAGTAGCTATCCTTGCTGAGTGTCAGCCTCCTGCTGGGCTCTGTTCTAAATGTGTTAGATTCATGTTAGCACATTAGTCCTCAGCCACCCCACTGAGGACAAGTTCATTATTCTCCCCATTGTATAGATGAGGAAGTTTAAGGCCCAGAAAGGTTAGATGAATGTGCCAAGGTCGCAGTGCTGATATGTGGCAGAAGCAGGTTTTGTGCCATCAGTCCGGGTAGAGTCCATCTTAACAGGCTTAGTGTACATAGTTTGTGTACCATTTTGGAAGTACTGTTTGGTGCAAGGCTTTATTAACTCACTTAATCCTTATAGCAACCTAGCCGGTACTTAGGTTTCAGTTACTTTTTTGCCCAGGATCATCACAGTAAGTTGCCTGGGCAGGAATTGAACCAGGGATCACCTACCTCCAGGGTCCACTGTTTAACTGTGTCACACCACTTGTATTTGCTGCCTTTACTTTTCAGTCTGATAGAAGCCTTCTGCTTTATGTTAGACCATAAACTCCTCCAGAGCAGAGTCCGTCTGTGTTCATCACCCATTGCCAGACCCGCCTTAGAGTGGCTACTCAATGAATGTGTTGCCTGAATGTGTGTAACCAAGCTATTAAAATAGGTGTTGGAATAAACTTAGTGGAGGGAACCATTAAATCTGTGGAAAGTACAGTAAGAAGGAATGGTTTTTTCTCATTTAAAGATTATATAATAAATGTTTTGCTCTACCATTAAAATTTCCTGTCAGTTCAAGTGATAGATGGCTAGAAGAGAAGCTAGAGAAAGGAAAAAGTGAAGTCCTGTTATGAGTTCTGATTTCTGCCCTTATATTTAAGGATGGAAAGGTTGATTATAACCAAAGCTCCAGTCACCTCACACCTTGGGGATTTGGAAAGTTTAGTACTTATTCTCTGGTCAGTCCTGAACGGGTCCTCGCAGTCCATGGTTAGGGTGCCATCTGGAGGCGGCAGGTGGTATTACCACTCAGTTCTAAGCCTGGATCCGAAACATCTTGCAAGATGCATTTCCTGTTGAGTCACCGAAGTCTCATTTCATAGTTATTTCTCTGCCGACTTTATGCTTTGATCAAATCAGTGGCCATTGTTTTCTTTTTGTTCTGACCCACATTTCAATCTGCTTTATATTCAAATAATCAATTTCAGTTCAGGGCTGTTTTGCTAATCATAAAGCCTTGAATGAAGGGCATGTGAGGATGAAAGCAAATACATTGTGCTGAAGGGGAAGCAGTTGCCCCCGCTCTGCCAGGGGACAGAGGGCATGGTCCAGAGTCTGTTTGGCAGTAGGCCATGGTCTGGGTGAGGGAGAGACAGAGGCAGGGAAGGTGTCTTTTGGCCTTCTGTACTTGTTCACGCCTAGATTGTGTAAAATCTGTGGAATGGTGGTGGTTCCGGGGCAGTCAGGTGAGGTCTAGACTTGGACCCTCAAAAGACAAGTTTATTCTGCCATGATTTGCATAAGAGGTTATGTTTACCTTGAGTAGAACAGCAAGCGCATCGCTCAACTCATGATTTTTCCCCACTCATCAGGACTGCAGACTTTTTGTTCCCATGTTTTGCAGGACACCCAAACAGCTGAACCTTAAATACTCATCTAGTCCAGAGCTGTGCCCTCCATTAAGCAACTGAACACAGACAGTTGTTTCTCTTCTCCTTAAAAAATCCCCTCAAAAAAAAAAAAAAAACCCTCAGAGGGAAATTCTGTTTCTCACTTGTTCCACTGTTGAAGTGATTTTTCACTGACAAGTTTAAAATTTTTTGTGAAGTAATTCCTTAAAATCCTTGGTGATGGTAAATTTACTTATTTTAATCCTCATGTGTGTGAGGCTAATCATTTTAAACTTCAGCCTTTTCACAGACTTAGACATTCCTTACTATCTGGTGGGAGGGTTGCTGCTGTTCCACTCACCTGCAACTCGTCCCTCTCTTCTTGGAGGGCATCTGCTTCTCTATCTTTGAAACTGTGGATTTCCAGGCCGGGGATTTAGCTCAGTGGTTCTGCCACCTGCCTCACAAGTGCAAGGTCCCGAGTTCGATCCCCCGTACAAAAACAAAAACAAAACAACAACCAAAATAACTGTGGCTTTCCATTATTAAGCAGATGCCCCTTGTTCCTTCTGCTTCTATGCTTTCTCGCTTTTTCCCCCTTCAACTAGGTGTGTCCCCAGTTAGGGTATGGTGACTCTTCCACATGTCTATACCACTCAAGAGCATTTTTAAAGACAGCTCTACTGAGATACAATTCATGCAGAATTCACCCATTTAAAATCAACAGTTCACAGATTTTTAGAACATTCACAGATAAGTTCAGCCATACCACAATTTTTGAATATTTTTATCTTCTCTAAATATTTTTATCATCACCTAAGCCAGGTATGGTGGCACATGCCTATAATCCTAGCACTCAGTAGGCTGTCAGGAGGCTTGCCATGAGTTCCAGGTCAGCCTGAACTACACAGTGAGACCCTGTCTGAAAAAGCCAAAAATGAATGAATGAGTGAGTGAGTGAATTAATGAAACCCTATATCTTTTACCTATCACCTCTTCCCCTGCTATCCAACAATGAGCCACCACTCCTCTCCCTTGTGTCCCTCTGTTTTTCCCTATTCCAGACATTTTGCATACCTCAAATCCTATAATGTGTAGCCTTTTGTGTCTGACTTCTTCCACTTAGCCTATTTTCAAGGTTCATCCATGTCAAAGTATGTACCAGTGCTTCATTCTTTGTGACCAGTAATACCACACGGTACAAGTGTGTCCCGTTTTGTTTACTCACGTATCTATAGATGGACATTTGAATTGTTTTCACCTCTTGGCTATTATGAATAATGCAGTTGTGAGCAAATTTTTATATGACATATACTTTCATTCCTCCTGGATGTATCCCCAGGAATAGGACTGTTGGGTCCCACGATAACTACATGATTAATCATTTGAGGAACTGCCAGACTATCCCAGAGTGACTGCACCATATCACAGCCCCACCGGTAGTGTGTGAAGGCTCTAATTTCTTTACATTCTTGCTAACCCTTGTTATCTGTCTTTGCTTCTGTCCATCCTGGGGTGTGTGAAGTGGTATCTTATGGTTTTGATTCACATCTTCACTAATGTCAAACATCTTCACTGGGGATTGATCCCAGGGCCTTTGCACTGAGCTACATCCTCAGCCCTTTATTTTTTATTTTGAGATACGATCTTGCTAAGTTGCCCAGATTGGGCTCAAACTTGTGATCCTCCTGCGTCAGTCTCCCAGAGTGCTGGGATTACAGATGTACACCACCAGGCCTAGGGCCTTATTGATATTCTGATCTTTGATGTCATGCTGCATTTTACTGTACAGCCATTTCACAGTGACATGTGAAGTACTCTTCACCAAATGTCATTGTATCATTGTATGTTCTGAATAGACGGAACAAGTCTTCAAACTAGATGGTCATAGCAAACGTGATAATGAAAGGCAGTAGATTTCATATGGATCATCTTCCTTCCTTTTCCAACAGGTATGGCAGATTCCAGAAAATGGACTCACCCTTTCCCTGACTGAACCTGTGGTGATCTTAGAAGGCCACTCAAAGAGAGTTGGCATCGTGGCCTGGCATCCGACAGCACGCAACGTACTTCTTAGCGCAGGTGGGAGCTCCAGAGGCCCCTTCGGTTCTCTCAGCCCCTCATGTGGAGGGAACAACAGATGCATTTTGAATGTGTGTTCTGCAGCTTTGTTTGGTTTTGTGATGCTGGGGATTAAAGCCAGGGCTTCACACACAAGTGCTCTACCATTGAGCTACATCCTGAGACCCATTGTTGTAGTTTTGAAGAGAGCATTAGGAAACCATGGTGAGATCCACATACAAAAATACAGAGTTGGCTTCATACACTTTCTGTGTCACCTGCCTTTTGCAGTTAGTGGTGCACTGTGATCCTTTTCATGTGCCACTAAAGGTTCTTCCGATTAGATGTATTTTTAATACAGAATAGTTATACCTCAATTTATTTAGTGAGTCCCCTGTTTCTGGATATTGTTGTTTCTGATTTTCACTGTTAACGCTGTAAGGAATGCTTGTATTTGTCTTAGTGTGCTTACCAGTTTCTTACTTGATTACTTTCCAAGTTTATCTTACAGAAATTGTTTCCTGTGTCTAAAACTTGAGATTTTATTTTCTTTCATAAAAGCAATAGAGAGGCCACTAAGGAGCTTTGGGAGTAATAGAAATGTTCTCTGCCTTGATTATGGCAATGGCTACATGATTAGATTCATTTGTTGAAACTTACCCTAAGTATACTTTGGGGCAGTGGTGGCAAACCTTTTAGAGGCCCAGTGCCCAAACTGCAACTGAAAACCCACTTATTTATTGCAAAATGCCAACACTGCAATTAAACCTGAATACTGAGGTTTTATTTTAGAAAAAACAACTGTTACTCAGTGCTCAACTGCTGAGGTGACTTGGCTCATGTACCAACAGAGAGGGGCTCTGTGTGCCCACCCGGAGCTTGCATGCCACAGGTTCATCACCACTGCATTAGAGTGTACCCTGAGTATGCATTGTACTGTATGTAAATTATATCTTAGTACTGGTTTATTCTAATACTGTATTGATGGTAGGGTTTTTTGTTTATTTATCTTTTGTTTTTTGAGACAGGGTCTTGCTATATGTTTCAGGCTGGCCTCAAACTTGTGGCCTCAAACTCCTCTCTCAGCCTCCCAAGTGCTGGGATCACAGGTGTGCATCACCACACTTGGCTTTTAAAGGTCTTACTCCTCACCAATATAAAAGAGAGAGGCAGGTCAGTTTTTAACTGGAAACAGAGAAGTTTTGATTCATGGTAAGTTAAATAAAGTTAATGCCAGGTACCTATTGAAATCACAGACTACTTTCCAGAACTATATAGGATATAGTTTTTTATAATCACTGAAAACTATACTTGGGAACCCTCCTGATCTACTCAGAACCTCCGTCTGATAAGAGGAAAGAATTCCGGAGATGGAATTCCATTGTGGAAAATGTCCTGCTGCCCTCCTCATCTAGGTCACACATAGGATATCACCAGCAGACTGCTCCTGTTCTCTTTCACAAGCAGAGGAGAACGGTGGACTGCAGTGTTCTGCATATTCTAAGACTATGTGATCTACCTGCAGCAGCTGGTTACCTGTTTGCCTGTGAGGAGCAAGGCCGAGGAAGGGTCAGTTCTCTACCCCTGAGTTTAGCTGCAACTTTGCGTACTGCTGTGTTCCGCAGTTGTCCTTGGGTAACTTGTGTACAGTATCATACATATTAGTGGCTAATTTTTCTAAAGCACTTACAAAATTCACCATTATCTTTCCTCTGTTTTGCTTTATCCTTGAACTGATGTCCTAAAAACAAAAAAGCACGTGATGTGTTTGCTTTTTTTTCCCCTAGAATTGAGAATTGAACCCAGAGCCTTTGCACTGAACTACATCCCCAGCCCCTTTTTTGTTTTTTGAGATAGGGTCTCACTAAGTTGCCCAAGCTGGGCTTGAATTTGGTATTCTCCCTCAGCCTCCCAGAGTCCTGAAATGACAGGTGTACCCCATGCTCCTGGCTAATGCATCCTTTTAAAGGAGCAAAGCCTTGAAGAAGGAGGGGGTGGAGTTGGTCAGCTGAGGGCATCATTTTCTGAATCTACAAGCTTGCTTGTGTACAGTTGAGGCTTCTCACCATGACTCTTAGGCTGTTTTTCTCCTCTTAAAAGATCTGTGGGGAGCAAGTAAATCAGTCCTTGCATTCCCTCCTGTCACTGTAATGTACCATGTTTTCCCATACCGAGGCACATCTCAGCATCACTGATTTGAATGTCTGCTATCCAGAGTTATTTGGAAAAGAAATAAGCTGCTGTATTTGTTCTGATGTTTGATTTACTAGAAAAGGAAACTTGAAATGACTCAGGTCCACCAGCCTAGTTAACTCTGAAAAAAACAAGATTCTATTTTGGTGTAGTTCTTTGTTTTTGTTTGGTTGTTTCATCTGAACCCAAACTTAACAAGCTGTGTTTTCCTTTTCACACTTTTCTTTTAGACAAATCTTTCTCTTATCACCTACTTGAATCTCCCAGTTAGGGGAGCTCCTTATCATTCGCACCTTCCTTTCTGTGCAGTTGTAAATACCCTCATGATGTTTATAGTCTTCTCGGACTTGTTTTTATACAGGTGTTTCTCAGCTCTGGGGGTTTGGTTTTGCTTGTTTCAGGCTGTGATAATGCCATCATCATCTGGAATGTGGGGACAGGCGAAGCCCTTATAAACTTGGATGACATGCATTCAGACATGATTTACAATGTGAGCTGGAACCGGAATGGCAGTCTGATCTGCACAGCTTCCAAAGACAAGAAAGTGAGAGTAATTGATCCCAGGAAACAAGAGATTGTTGCTGTGAGTATTCTTCCGGTGGCTCTTCAACGCATGTGAACTCCCTGTTTTTAAGGCAGGCAACAGTCCTGGCCATTGGGCCCTTGAGCACAGACACAAACTGAACCAGAAAAGCTTAACACAGGCTTCTGACTGTCCCTGTCACATTTCTTTCTGGAGTTATACATTTCCAGCCTTGACTCAACTCTCTCCTCTTCCTTGGCAACCAATACAAAGTTTTTATCAAGTCACTAGCATCCTTAAGAATTTAAAAGTTTGGATTAACTAAACCAGACTGCATTCCTAGTCATGGGGCTTAATACTGACTGTTGATGAACAAATTCCCCACTGTTCTCCAAATGATTGTTGAAGTGCCTTACAGAACTGCAGCAGTTCTCTCCTTGGCTCGGTGTCTTAGTTTCTGCCACACTGGCTGGGCCTTAGCAAAATCACATATCCTGACCCAACGTGGGCCTTTAATCAGGATTGAAACAGCCAGATGTTGAATCCAAGAATGCCCCACTTCAGCTGTGCCCTGAGGCCTTCCTGACATGCCCATGGTCTTGGCAGCCTTATTTCTAAGGAGTCAGGTAGCCATCATGGCTGGTACTCATTGACCACTGGCGGCTTACCTGGCCTTGTGCGGTCTTTCTTCACCCAGCATTTCCCGGGGTGGATATTGGTGCACTGTGATTAAACGAATGAGGTTAAGGAAGAGGTTGACTAGACCAGGCTTCTTTATGTCCCAGGCTATTGGTAGAAATTATAGGCTATACCCAACCTTTAACCCTCTTTATGATCCTCTTGAGAAAAAAAACACTTGGTAGAGTCCTTGAGTATGTTTTATGTTTGCAGTGCATGGACTTTGGTTAGCAGCAGGATGTGTTGGAAAAAGTGAGCTTTTGAGTCCAGTTCTGGTACTCTTGCTTGCTAACTAGCTGGGGACCTTGACCAGATCACTTAATGTTGATTTGTTTCCTCATGTGGGAAGGAGGAGGGTGCTTAACTCTGGCTACCTGCGTAGGAGAACACAGGTGGCATGTGGTGTGAAGCTGGGTTCAGTGGCTTTATTCTCACTCTCCCAGGAGAAGGAGAAAGCACATGAAGGCGCTCGGCCCATGAGGGCTATCTTCCTGGCAGATGGCAACGTCTTCACCACTGGCTTCAGCCGCATGAGCGAGCGGCAGCTGGCGCTCTGGAATCTGGTAGGCCCCTTCCCTGCCTTCCCTCTAGCTTGCTTTCACTCAAGCTTTCTTTCTCTCTGCTCTGAGCCCATCACTGAGTTAGTAGTGAATTGTAGAAGTCTTAGTGTGGTTTTCCAAACTCCTGCTGGCTTAAATTGGATGTAAAGCTCTTAGCCTCACTGAAGACTTCTGTACAAATGCATTCTTGGTACTCCTACGTTGACTGTATTTTTTTTTAAAGAATATCCAAAGAACCCAGTGTTTTAGATTTGGAAAATAAGGTATAAACTTATATTTCATAAAGACTGATCAAATGTCTGAATCAAAATAGTCTTGCTTGAGGAAATGTTTATAACTAGCATAAGTGGGGGAAAAAACCCTCAACTGTATAGATGGTACAATTGCAATTTTGTGTGTGTGTCATACCGAAGTGTGGTAAGACCAAATACCACCCAACACCAAGCATGTATGGCCTGTGGGGTGACTTTTATGTTCTTTATGTCTTTAAATTTTTTAAATGTACATATATTTATGTATAATGAGAAAAAGTACTTTAAAAGATGGAAAAGGAGAAGAGCACTCTCATTTTGGTCATGGAATCAGACAAATGTGTGCCTTAATTATGTGGTCACATCAGCATAATTTTCAGCCAGTTTGATCTCTATTGTTATTTTCATGTATGAAGATTATATGTGCATTCAAACTTTAGATTATTCTGGGAAATGGCTCATTCAGTTGAAGAATGTATGGTAAGGTTACAAAAATTTGTCTTTTAAGATGCGTACATGTATTTTTTTTCTCAGAAAAATATGCAAGAACCAATTGCTCTTCATGAAATGGACACAAGCAATGGGGTGTTGCTGCCTTTCTATGATCCTGACACCAGTATCATTTACTTATGTGGAAAGGTAAACAGCAGTTTTAAAATTTGATATTAATTGAATCCTGTAAGGGGAAATATCTGCCCTCTAGAGATTTAGAAGATGGACAGTGTGTTATTTAAATGTTCTAATTTGTCTAATTTCTTTGTTGGTCAGCTGAGATAAAGACAGATGGTTTTGGTATGTTGCAGGCTTGAGACTGGACTAGCTATTGTGTGGTGATAACACGTGTATTCAGCACTTTTGCTGAGATGGGCATTGGGCTAGGTGTTGGGACAAACGCCGAGGGAGATCTTCACTTAGGGCATTCTGCTGAGAAAAACAGGGCACACTGGTGTCTTGTTTTCACCTAGTAGTGCTACGGGATTGGTGACTTTCAGACCTATCTGCATTGGTATTAGGGATGGGTGACCAGTTTGCCACATGTAATGTACCTTGTGCCATGGCTTGTAAGTCAAACCCCTGTGTGGATGGGACCTTTCGAGGCCTCAAAAACTCTCCAGAGGGTTCTGGTTATTGAGGCTCAGGGTTAGGGCTTGAGGATATGAAGGCTGACTGAAGTTTTGGGGTGACAGTTGTTACAGAAAGATGTTACTCAGAACTCAAAACACCTTCTTCCTGCCTTATGACCTCAATTTAATAAACCATTGGTAGCATTACTATTACGTTTATTTCTTTTTTGTAGGTGGTAACCTCAAAATTCCTTATTTTTTTGTAGGTTCAATTTTCCTAAGAACTCTTTGTAGTTGAAATAAATGAATTAATAAAAATGGAACTTTTGATGTGGTCCCCAAGCTTGTTAGGTAGCCTCTTGCTGGTGATGTTTTCCTTTTCACAGTTGACTATGCTGCAGAGCTGCTTTGCATTTTTAAGGTCAATTAATTATAACTAAGAGCTTATCTGTTTCCTTAAAAGTCAATTTATGGCAGCTATTAAGTACATAAGCCTTACCATTGCTGCCATAGACTACATCAAAACAAAATGAACAGTCACCCAGAGAGTGTTAACCCAAAGGGGCAAAGTACAGTAGGTGTCTAGCTGCTTTTTTGTTGCTTTAAATTTTTAAATGGTTGAAACAAATGGAAACTGTGAGAACTAAGAACCTTGTTAGGGCCTAATACTGCCTAGTTTTTTAGGTCTTTCATGTGTGAGTGAGCGCGCACACGCATGTGTGTGTATGTCTGTGTGTGTGTCTGTCTGTCTGTCTGTCTCTCTGTCTTCTCTCCCAGATGGGATTGTCTTCATTGTTCAGGTTGGTGTAACTGTGTAGTAGTTATTTATACTTACAGTAATATATATCTCAGGCTTCAGATTTCAAAAAAATCTGACCATTTTAAACAAGGTAATTATAGAATTTTATACATGCCAATTAGAAATCCTTTCTACAGTTAAAGGATACAAAAATTGATGTTTCTTAATTAGAAAAAGCTCACTCTTTCTTGTCATTTGATTGTCTCGTGTTAATACCCTCAGATCTGTTGGTGATGCTGACCTGGACCAGTGAGCAAATCCTTAAATCAGCAAATACACTCCCAGCAATCCTCCTACTCTTTGTTTGATTTTTGAAGTTGAATTGCAATGCAGTTGTTTGGCAAAGGCATCAGTATTGTTGCCCTAACTCTCACCTGGTTGCTGGATTTAGGGGAATAAAATTAGAGCCCTCAGAAGGAGGTACAGGAAGGCATTTAAAGGGCCTGCTGGGTGACTGATAAGTAGTCAGGGCTTAATCTTTGAGGAAAAGCAACTATTGTCTACTTAGGCAAGCCTGTTTATGAGGAAGAAAACGTGGGCTCCTGAAGTCAGGTCCCCATGAATGCTAGGGTTGTAGAGGAAAGAGACACCCGCCTAAACCAGCTGTCTCAGTTAACACTAAACACTCATTTGTCTCTGATTTCTTCTTGTAGGGTGACAGTAGTATCCGCTATTTTGAGATCACTGATGAATCCCCGTATGTCCACTACCTCAACACATTCAGCAGCAAGGAGCCTCAGAGAGGGATGGGTTACATGCCCAAGAGGGGACTTGATGTTAACAAATGTGAGATTGCCAGGTAAAGATTCAACATGATAAAGTATTCTGTCTTTTGCACCATCCATGCAGTACCAGAGCAGTGCAACTATAAGTACTTCTATAATGCCCATGTCTGTCTACCTTTGTGTGGCATGGAATTAATTATACCTCATTCCCTGCCCATACAACCAGAAGTGTAGGAGTTAAGGTGCATAGCTGAGGTGTATTGCACACTCACTGAAATAATGAAACCTTATCTCTTGAGGCTTCAGCCAGTGTTCTCTGGTGGACAAGCAGATGAGAACCTGGCTCTGGGATAGGAAAGGGGGTGCTTTTCCCTGCCTGAGGGACTAAGTCAGATTCTACGCAGGACTGTGGACCTGCTGGCCCTAAACTAGACAAGCCAATGATTCTACAGTAGGGTGTGAGGTGGCTTGGTTTAGCAAGTTCAGCTCTGTCCTATAATTTCTGCTGCTGTACCTGCTCCTGTTTATATCCTCTGATGCTAATGAGCTTCTTAAGGGATGGGCTTTTTTTCCACACTAGGCAACAAAAGATACTCTCTGAGACTCAGTGGCCACTGGCCATTTAAAACAACAGACTAGCACCACACTATTAGTAGGTTGTCATATCCCACATAATGTAAGTTTATATGGACTTTAAAGTTTGCATAAGTTCAATCCGTAGCACCCAGAACAACACTACAAAAAGTTTGCTGCTCTGGTATGTGATCAAGAATTGATACTTACATTTTAAAAAATAATACTAAAAGGATTTTTATAAACCCTTATTATTTTTTTTTAATAGCTAGAGTAATGAAAGCTGTCACAGATTTTAAATTGTGTTGTGAACCTAATCAAAATGTGGTTCAAAACAGGTTGAATCTGAATTTAGAATTGCATCCAGTATTTAGGAACACAGGACTTCCTGTTTGTTTGTTGAGCATTGATTGTAGGTTGGGTGGTGTGCTAACCATGCTACGTGACTTTGACTTCTCATAACAACCCTTCGCGGTAGCTATTATTTTTGTCCCCATTTTAAGGATGAGGAACTTTAGGCTTGGGGAAGTTGGCCTGCCCTCAGAGGTTGTAGTAGTAGAGCTAGAAATCAAACTTTTTCATATCCATGCTGCCTGCAGAATTTTCATTAATCAGTCTTAAAAATGTTTTTACTTTATCTGTGACCCTTTCTGTTCAAATAGTGACTAGGTTTTAGACAACTGTTTTACAAGCACCTTTACCAGCAGAGTGGTCTCAGCTTCTGTTTCACCTGAACACATACCTGTTTCCCGCCAGTGCCCACACCTGACTGTTGGCTCTTCCCTGCACACCAGCTGCCCCACCTGGCAGTCTGGTCAGACCTCATATGGCTGCCTGTCTTGCCAGGAACTTTCAAGAACTCTGGATTATTACTCGTCCTTGGCTTGCCCTTATCACTTTCATCATAAGTAGTTTCTGGTTTTGTTTGTTATAAGATGAAAAAGAAAATTTTATCCCCCCCCCCATTAGAAGCTATTTTTTGCCCTCTTCCAAAAGGTAATAGTTGGTTTATATTCCTACCCTTTCCATATTTTGGATAATTTCACATTTCCCATGATGTGGTTTGTTTGGATGCCAAAATCTTACTTCCTAGGATTGCTTTCTTTTCTTTTTTAAAAACCCTGTTTATATTTAATAGATATTCAACCACCTCAGGTTGGCAGAATACCTAGCATCCAGGGCATAGATCAGGCTGTGTGACGGCTATGTGATCTCTTCTGTCTGGTGACAGGTAACTTTTTCAAAAAGTAGCTCATTACCAGTGTTGCTCTTTCCACTGTAGTCCCTCTGCCCCCAGATGTTACAGTTTGACTGTCACTGTGATTCATAGATCTCTACTCATGATTCTTGTCTCCAGTCTGCCTGGCACAGATATTCTCAGTCTCAGTTTTCTCATCTGTAAAATGGGGAACTGAGTCCTGCCACTTCCAGGCTGGCTCAGAGGAGGTGACAGAAAGAGAAGCACTTCGTTTCTCATGCACCATTGTAGAAGAGTCGTTTTAAATTCTGTTACCCAGCCTCGGATTTCACTTCATGTAACTTTGCTTTTATTTTCCCTTTGAAGATTCTTTAAGCTTCATGAGAGAAAGTGTGAGCCTATTATCATGACTGTTCCCAGGAAGGTGAGTGCCCAGTTTTCTAGGCAATTGATATTTTTTAAAAAAAACTTCAGACCTTTTTTCTTCATCCTTACAGAAAGTTTCCCCAAATGTCTCTTGCAGTCTGACCTTTTCCAAGATGACTTATATCCAGACACAGCAGGGCCCGAGGCCGCCCTGGAGGCAGAAGAGTGGTTTGAGGGGAAGAATGCGGATCCAATCCTTATCTCCTTGAAGCATGGGTACATTCCAGGCAAAAACAGGGATCTAAAAGTAGTCAAGAAGAACATTCTAGACAGCAAGCCTGCTGCAAACAAGAAGTGTGACCTGATCACCGCCCCCAAGAAGACCACAGATGTGGCCGGCGTGGTAAGGAGTGCAGGGACTGCGGGATGTGTGTGGCTGGCTCAGCCCTTGTCCTCTAGAAAGCCCTGAGTGGTCCAGGGCATTGAGTCCTGACCCAGGGCTGATACACGGGAGTTCTCAGTAAATGATCCCACATGCTGCGTGTGAGAAAGTTCCAGGGCAGGTGACGCAGTGAGTTTGCGGCCATGCTTGGCTCCTAGAACTCTGGGCTTTATGTTAACTGGGGTGCATGCCAGTCTCCCACCATCTCTGAGAGTGAACAGGACCTTTGTGGGGTTTTGTTAGCTTTCGCCGAGCCCCTGTGTGATGTGGTCGAAGTCTGACGTGGGAGCTCAGGTCACAGGAGCTAGGGAGGGAAGGCGTCCTGGAAGGAGGAAGTGATGGGAGTGTTCAGGTGTTCCTCAGTGGTCTGGTGGCAATGGGAGCTGGCGGTGTGGGGCCCTGGCAGCAAAGATGAACTTGGCAAGAGCCACTGGTGGAGGGACAGGGCTGCAGCCTGCCCTTAAAGAACTATCAGGGCTGCTGGACAGCTGGGGAGGAGGGAGCAGGAAGTCCAGGGCCTAGCCGGGGAGAGGGTGACTTGTCCTGAGAGGGTAAGAGGAATGGAGAGGCAGTGTCTGTAGGAGCTGACATTTGGGGCCATGACCAAGGAGCCAGTTCCGTGGGTTTTGGTGGTTGTGAGGTTTCCAGAAGAATCTGCTCCAAGTGGGAGAGGCTCAGTCCTGTTGAAGACAGCACTCAGGCAGGGTGTTTGACTCCCAAGACCCTCCTCGGAGAGGGAGGAAGCTCTGCAGCCTCTGAAAGCGTCACCCTCACCCTCACCCTCGTCCTGATCAAACACAGACTGCTCCTGGGGGCCAGAGGTGGCACTGCGGGACGCAGCTGTTTTACTGTGGGATTTCTGATGCTTCAGCCAGCATCAGTTGTGTTCTCATAAGGCCCAGATGCAGTAGGATTTGACTTCTCTTTTCAATTTGGAGATTATGGTTTGCCGTTTGCAAACTAGAATATTATATTGTAAGTCTTATAATAGGAACTGTTGGACTTTGTTTACTGCTTTTTAGTCACTACCTCTTTTTGTTTGCTTTCTTAGCAAAATGAAGCCAAGTTGGATGAAATTTTAAAAGAAATCAAATCTATTAAAGACACAATCTGCAATCAAGATGAGCGTATTTCCAAGTTAGAACAGCAGATGGCGAAGATAGCAGCCTAAAGGTCCCACCCCCACCCCTCCAAAAAAAACAGGAGCAAGAACTTGTGCTTGGTGGCTGGTTGCTGGTACGGTCCTAGGGAGGGCGGAAAGAGAGGCACTGCCATTGGAGACATTCCATTTCAGATTTGACGACCCGCGATGGGCCACATTCCAGTGAGAACTCAGCTCGGCTCCCAAGTTTGCAAAAACAAAAGCTGAGCTTTTTATCAGAAAGCTTTTTTGATGTTTTAAGTGTTATGTGACTTGTTGAACTTTGAAAAGACAAAAGTGCTACTTTTAAAATCCCAGATATTCTGAATTTTAGCAAACAAACCAATTCTGATTCAGCATCGTGCCCAAGAACCTTTTTTTTAATGACTAGGGACCAATGCCACATTGCTTTTTGTATTTCTTTTCTTTTTTTAATGTTGCCAAAACCAAAAGTAGCTTTTTTTTCCTTTGTATTTTGCTACTTTGCAGTATTTGTGTGTGTGGTTTTTTTTTCCTTAATTTGAAAGGGACAGTACTGTGTATGTTTATAAACTAAATGAAGATATTATTTTGTATAAACATTCATCTGAGAACAATCAGAGCAGTAGCCACGTGGTGCTGGCTCAGTTGCAGCATAAACCTGGTCATTTTAATGACTGTACAAAAGGAAGACTTGAAAAATCATGTGACCCACAGTACCACCCCTCATTCCTGAGTCTTCTGATCAAAAAAGCTCAAATCGTATCTCCTCCTTTCTGTCCTTTCTCTTTTCTAGAAATTGGGTGGTTGTACCGGAATGGAATTTTGCTTCTTGATCCTGTGCTTCAGATGATTATAATCTAACCTAAACTAGCATGTGTTTCTGCAGTTTTGTTACACACAGAATCTGTCACATTCATCACTTGGAACATCGTGGTTCGGGTTTTGGTCGGTAGTTGACAAGGGCACCCGGGCCAGGAGGACACGCACGGTGCTGAGTGTTTCTCCTGCCCATCTCAGCAGGGTGCCTCACTCCAGAGTGCAGTGGTGGAGACTTAAACCAGGAAGCGTAGAGGGGAGCCCTTGCCAGGTGGTCCTCTGTTTCCTGCTTGGCCCCTGCTGTGACTGGGCTGTGCTGGAGGAGAAGGAGCTCTCCTTACACCCAAAGCACCTGCCTCCCCTCCTCCTCACGGCTGCTGTGACCAGCCAGGCCTGCCTGTCTTCCTGCCTGTCAGCCCTAATCACACCCTTCAGGACGAGGCCACAGGGTGCTAGTGAATGTTGAGACTGAGGCAAATGGGCTAGAATGAAGCAGAAACGGGAGTGCAGGGCTCTGCTGTCACCGTGATGTGTACAGCCATGTCCCTTATGTCCTCCACACAGAGCAGCCTGCTCTTCCTCTCCAGCTCACACTGTGGCTGTGTCACAGCACAGAGGCTCCATGGACTCAGAGGGGCTGGAAAGGGAGCACTGATCCCTGCTCCTTCCTAGGTTAGCTGGGAACCTGTCCCATGTCTGTGTTTCCAGATTGCATGTTTAGAGCCAGACTTGTGGAAAGGGCCAGGTGCCTGATAGAATCTGACCCATATAGTGCATGGCGACTGCACAGGGAGCTCTTGGGCATGGGCATGCGCTGATGTGGATGCAGATGTAGGCGGGAAAGGAGGACAGAGTGAGATGTGGCAGCAGCCAGGTACGGCGCACCTGGGAGAGCTCCCAATTCATGGCCAATAAAACAGGCTTGCTGTCCTCACGGTTTCAGGGCATCAGAATGTTTGATGTGGTTTTGTATGTTTGTATGTGTGTGTTCGTAATATTGAAGTGGACAATGAGACATAAAGCAACTACAGTGACTTACAGTCAAACCTACATTGTCTCTTTATTAATGTAATCTGCTAAGGACCTTCATTTCTAAGATTCAGAAATGTGTTAAGGTTCTGATATCAAATTAAGTAGATAGCATTGCTGCAGATGGTGGTGAAACACCACAGGGAATGTGGTTCAGAGTGAAGAGGGAGCGCAAGGAGAGAGGTTAGCTTAGTGTGCAGCTTCTGGTGAGTGGATGCCCAGCCACGCTCGGAGTACGCATCTGAAGCATTGTGGATTCTCTTTCCTGTTTTGTCTTCATCTTCTCTTTTAAAACACTGCAACATCCCAGAAGAGGACAGTGAATTACTCCTAGATCGGCTCTTATAGAGCAGCCATAGTGTTCTGTTAAAACACTTGCTTCCATTTTCAAAGATAAAAATCATTGACTCCGAATTGGTGTCCCGTGTTTCTTTCACCCCAACCCAGCTGTCTCCTGGGTACAGCTCTACCTGGCACCGCTTCTCCAACTCTCAGGAGCAGCCAGGTAACTCTGAGGGTAAGTACTGGGGACAGGGGTGGGCACTGAACTCAGCCAGGTGCAAGGCCAGATCCCCACAGACCTGGTGCATACCTTCTACCTTCAGCCTGTGCCAGCCCTGTCTGCTGTGAGTGCTGCTCACCCCAAGCCCCTTTCCTTGGAAGAAGGGTGCTAATTCCATACAGTTTCAATGAGAGAAACAGCTGTGTCTGGCCAATACAGCAGCCCTTGCCGAATGGCCACCATGGTCACCACGCTGAGCTGATTGCCTGGCAGGGCCTTTAAAAGCACTTTTCCTCAGCAGAATGACATTCCCCTGGCTTGGCTGCAACTTTTATTCTAGCCAAAGATTCTGAGTGTCAGTTGAAGTGCATGGCCCCTTTAGACTTCCCTTTTTACATTACCTCTTTTTCTCATGACATTTCAGTGTAGCAAAGAATTTCCCACTGTTTACCTTTTCTTAATGTTTATAAATGTGGAAAATAATTGACACAAAGCTCTCTGCTCAAATGCCTTATCCTAAACTGGGCCTGGAAGTACACACCTGTAATCCCAGCTACCTGGGAGGCTGAGGCAGGAAGATTGCAAATCTGACCCCAGTCTGAGCGTTTTAACAAAACCTTGTATCAAAATCAAAAGGGCTGGATGCCGCCTGCTGCACAAGTGCAAGGACCTGAGTTCGATCCCCGGTACCAAAAAAAAAAAAAGGGCTGGGGATGTATCTTAGTAGTAGAGCACCCCTAGGTTCAATCCCTAGTACCACAAAAAGCAAAGCCCTTACCATAGAGTTGTCTTATCTGTTGGCAGGGTAGCTAGCTGCCAGGCTCTCCATCAGCTGGCGGCTGCAGGAAGCAGAAGCTGGCAGACGTCAGGAAGGAGACGCATGGTGGTCTGTTTACGACTGACTTGTTTTCTGGCTGTGGCTATCTTGATTCTTTGCCAGAGACCTAAAGGCCGTAGTGTTACCCCAGACAGACAGCCAGACCTTGTCTGGGGAGAACTTGCATTTTCTAAAGGTTACTTCCCTTGTTGTATTTAGTATTGTGTCCAGAAAAACTTTTTGTTGGCTCTTAAGAATCTGTTAACTCTAAGGGCCCCTTTCTGTTTCTGCTGGCACGTTAAAATAGCCCCAGATTGCCCTGGGATCGCGGACTGAAGTCATCACAATAGCACACCTTCCTTCAGATGGGCGTTGCTTGTCACCCAGGCTGGACAGTGCCCTTTGCTCCATACACAAGTCCCTGTGCACCGAGGAGTGCTGGGTTCGGGTCTTTCACTCCTCAGCCAGGGGGAGCGGCCCAAGTTGGTGCCGCACCTTCAGTGTGCTTACCCAAGGTTTGCCTTTGGGAATCTTGTCCCAAGGAGCTGGTAGAAGATATACTCAGGAACTAGAGTGAAAATCAGTCCTCCAGAAAGGAGTTGGTTAAGTTAGTTACCTGTCACATTAAATAACCACATGTCAGCACTCTGGTTATTTAAAGTCACTTAAGCTGGCCATGGTGGTGGATGCCTGTAATCCCAGCACTCAGAACGTTGAGGCAGAAGGATCTCAAGTTCAAAGCCAGCTTGGTCAACTTAGCAAGCCCTTGTCTCAAAGTTTAAGGTGGGGGTGGTGTGTGTCTCAGTGGTTAAGTATACCTGGAGCCCTATGGAACAATCGATTCCAGCTTTTGTTTTTAAAGTATATGTACCTGGGTTGAACCATGAAAGTATACAGTCGTAGGGCCAGGGATTTAGCTCAGTGGTTTTGCCGGCTGCCTCACAAGCGCAAGGGCCGGAGTTCGATCCCTGGTACCAAAAAAAAAAGTATACAGTTGTACCTTGGTTCACAAACTTAATTTGTTCTACAATTTTGGAAAAGATGGCCATGTTTGTGTTTGTGTGGGAAAGATGGCTGGGGTCGTGTTTGTCACCCAGTGCAGAGTCTGCAGACAAACACAAAATTTTGCCATAAGCTTCTGTTTGCAGACAAACGCATTTGTGAGCCGAGGTGCCACTGTATGACTTCTGGGTGTTGGGTGTCCACCACCAATTGTCTTTGGATATTACAAGTGCCCCATGGTGACTGTGTTGTGTAAAATTTGCATTTAAAAATAATTTGAATGTTTGAAAAATAATTTGAATAATTCATAGGTGAAAATTTGAAAACAATTCTCACCAACTATCCCACAAAGTCACTGTGCAGTCAGTTCTGTTAGTTGGCTTATCTGCTCAGAGTTAAGAGGGGAGGAGTATGACAGCCTTCAGCGCTCACAAGAACAAGAAGGAGCAGACTAGGGTTTCTAGTCAAGAAGCTGGGCTTCATCTGTCCATAAGACAGTCACCCCCCAGCCAAGTCTTCCTGATGAGTCTTTTAAAGGAAATTTGTATGCACAATGTTTATGTATAGAAAAATACCAGGAATGCTGCTACTGCAATCAGTAGGTGGAAGTTGTAGGTAAACTCAGTTTTTCTGAATTTCTAAATTTCTCATTCCCAGAAAAGAATTCTTAGAATTAATGTTTTAGTGATAAATTAATAATTAAAATAAGCATAAATCAGTGGAACACCAATATGCCTTCCTAATTCTGCCAACACTTGAAGGGAAATAAGACCTTCGTTTTGGGGGGAAGAAAATGAATGCCTCTTTAGACTTCAGGAAGAAGATTTGGAACCCCGAAGCAACTGGAATAAATCACAAAGGAAAAGAGAATAGTGGTCACACAGAAATTAAATTACGTAAGACTAACATGGCGAAAATGAGGGCCACAGAGACCAACAAGATATTGGGGATCAAACTCAGGACCTTGCACATGCTAGGCAAGTCCTCTGTCATTGAGCTATATCCCTAGCATGTTTTCACTTCATTTTAAGGCAGGGTCCCATTAAGTTGCCCAGGCTGGCCTTGAACTTGGTGATTCTCCTGCCTTAGCTTCCCAGGTAGCTGGGATTACAGGTGCATGCCACTGCCTGGTTGGGATAGATGCATTTCGGCATGCTTCACCTCAGACCCAGCTGCTGACTCTGATCATCACCTTGGCTGGGCTGGTAAAAATGTTTAAGTCTGAGATGACTGGTGTGCTGAGTGAATATTCCCCCACTGCTACATGGCTGAAGTAAGATAGCAGTATTTCGTCTTCCCCACTCTGGGAACTTTGACCACCAGCAAACAGTTCATCACACACTTGCAGGTGGAAGGAGTTCACGAGATACTAGTCCTGGTGGGATGTGTGACTGTTCCCCCATGCAAACTGCAGCAGATCCAAAGGTGCTCAAGGCAAAGGTGGTGCCGGGTAGAGGGTTGTAGTGCAGAGGAGGCTGAGTTTCGAAGTTGGTGGGACTTCTTGTTCAGCATGGGTGAGCTTTGTTGCATGGAAATGAAACTGGATAAGAAAACTCAAACAGGGAGGGTGTTTGAATGAGGAGTGAAGCTCAGAGAAGCAGGTATTTCTGTTACCAAAAGAAATCCACGTACACTTTGAGCTTAGTTTTTCCTTTTGTGGCTGGGGTACTGGAAATGGAACCCAGGGCCTTCACACTGAGCTAATCCCCAGCCCCTTTATTTTTTGCTAAGTTGCCTAGGCTGGGCTTAAATTTGTGATCCTCCTGCCTTTTTTTTTTTTTTGTGATCCCAGAGTGCTTGGATTATAGGCATGCACCACCGCACCTGGCTTAGTTTTGTGTGTGTGAAAACAAGAACATTTATGGCTTCTGTTTATTTTAGTACATGTTTGCAATACACAATGATTACATTCATGGTGGGGCTTTTTTTTTTTTTGGTACGGGGGATTGAACTTGAACTCAGGTCCTTGCGCTTGCACAGCAGGCAGCGAAACCACTGAGCCAAATCTCCGGCCCCGTGGTGGGGCTTTCTTAATGGAAGCAACCTCACACTGATTTCAAAGAATAAGTGAGCACTTTGAGAAGGGTTCAGGCAAGGCCCGGCAGGCACTGGGACTATGGAGAAAGCTGGGCTGTCAGCATTTCAGAGTGGAAGCAGCAGGAGTGCACCTGGTCCCAGTGCTGTGTGCAGTTTAGGCTTCAGATACAGCCAGCCAGTCCACATGATGCAGATACAGTGTGCACTCCAGGCCAGGGTGCCAACAGCCTCCCTCCACCAGGTGCCACAGGTCCCCAGCAGCAGGGCCCACCTTTGTGACAGCCCCACCTCATCTCACTGCTTGCTTCCCAATCTCCTCTTCCACGCTGGACAGTCATACTCATCTGGCCATCTACTGGGTGAAATACTTACTTTGACAGAGCATAAAGGGCCCAGAGAAAATACAGTGGATGAAATGTCTGGCCAGGAAAGAGCTGCAGGTCGGGAAACTGAGGGCTGGGAATCCACCATCAGGGTTTTAGCAGCAGGGTTCAAGCCCTTGGGCTAAGGCGATGAGATAGAGAACTGGGAAGTTGCCTCACCCATAACCGAAAGTTGTTGCAGTCTCATTCTGTGCTGAGCAGCATTGTAGGAGGTAAAGTTCCTTGTGGTTAATGGAGTCGGGCTGCTTATTGCTGGCCTCAGACACAGTCCCAAAGTGACCAGTGGGCTCTTAGCTCCCGGCCAGTTTCTCCCAGAGGCAGGGGCTTGGAATGCCGCATAAGGTGACAAGGTGGAGATTCTCATGTGGGCATCTGGCCACCGGCCAACACCTCCTGTTGTAGAGCAGCCAGGCCACTGTCTGAACGGCCTTGTAACCTGTAATTGTTAACCTTGTCACTGCTCTTTCTGCCTCCAGCCACCTGTTCCCCCTTTTTTTTTTTTCTTTTGCTTCTAGAATGACATTTTCTAGAGCCTGCCCAGGACTCTGAAGGAGACACTGGTTCCCCCTTTGTGTAGAAGACAAAGTCCACACTTACAATGTTTGGCCAAATATCTGAGCACCCACTGCCCGATCAAGTTGACCGACAAAACTAGCCATTGTGGCTTCCTATC